GTGTGTGTGTGTGTGTGTGTGTGTGTGTGTGTGTGTGTGCGTGTGTGTGTAAGAAAGTATAAGAGAGCAGAGAGGCAACAATAATGTCTGTTTTTGACCACATGGATATGACAAGCCTGCTTTCACCAGCACATACACCATGATATGAGCTGGCCTTCAGTGAGCTATGCTCTTTCTCTAACACACACACACAAGACAAAAATACAAACGGGCTTCATTCAAAGCGCAAGACACCACCGCACATGTATACTTAATGTTTGACACATGCTCTCAAGTTGTTTTAATACTTCACATTACAGCTTTAGCAAATTTAACTAACCAGGTTCTTCACAGAAAGACATGCGGTATATTATAGATCCTGAGGGCTATTAATATTAAATTGTGGCATGTTTTCAAATGTATTCCTAGTTTTTATCTATTTATACATGTTATTTTACTCATAGACTGCACTGCATGCTCCATTGTGGAGTATGATAATTGACATTTTAAACAGTTCTTGCAGTGGAGTTTCCCTCGAGGAAGTTTCAGAGAGTCTGTCAGTAATAGACTAACTAGAGAGAGAAATCTCATTTATGGAGCAATACTCTCATGTCAATGTGATGACCCAAGCCCATTTCCCTCCCATCATTCCATCACCCTATAAGTAACTGCCTGCCTAGAATGTAATTGCATCATTCTAATCCAAAGATTTAATGGCCATCTTCCTTCAGAAATGTCCCTCATCATTTTCCTATCAATTTTCAGTTATACCAGTAAGTAGTTTTATGCAATTGATAATATGGCCTTTTTGTGCCAAGTGGTTTTCCATTACATTTGTACAGCCTGTCATTGAGAGCATCATTTTTTTAAGTTTCATCAACGGGTTTGATTCGAAAAGCATGTTATGCTCCTATATCTCCAATGCATGTCCTCATTCTGTCTCACATGGTGAAACTTTTAATCTGCTTTAGTTGAAGAGGTATTGTCAAGTGAAATGGGAATATCACTACAAGCAACTTTAGACTTTCCGAGTGAATTTCAGCAAAGCATCGTGCCCGTCAACACCCACTTTGATTGTGTTTTTGTGGACAGGATTTCAGAAGCAAAAAATGTCTGTCATGCTCGCCATAGGTTCCCCTTCTAGAGTCAGAATGGGGATGAGTCATATCTGCTTGTATTTGTTGTTATATGGGATTAAGCACAGGAAGATGGAGAGAGATGTGCACTGTCCCAGGCAGATCAGTACATTAGAGCTACTCATTGACTTCACAGATGGCTGAAATCCCCAAAGAGGCTTAGCTGATTCTGATGACCGTGTTAATGCAGCACCCTGCCCTGGATCAAATGTATGGAATGGCAAAGGTCAGAAACAAGAAAGGCATTAAAATCAGACCTCGCACCATGGTAAATGCCAGTCAAACCAAATGAATAGTTACTTGATTAGGCTCTTAATTTGTGCTCTTGTATCCACACATCTCAAATTATGTATTGGCTTTAATGCCAGTCTGTGGTGGGAGTTACTGTGGTGTAAATTACATTTTACAAGCACTTATGAATCCTAAATACACATAATGAAATCAAATGTCACACGTTTTGCAGAATTTGAAAGCCAATTTGATTAGAAATGACTAAATGCAACTTTTGATTAAAAACGTATGTTAATTATTGTTGATTGTGGTGGAAATTGCCTCACAATTGAGGGACAGTCGTAATACATTATGTGTAAAATGTGTGATGTGTAAAAAATACATATTTATGTATTTACATTTTCAATATTTAAAGATGGATTTTCATATTTTGTTCAAAGTCTGTGTCTAAGACAATGTAAACCTATGTAATGTAAAATGTATTTAAAAAGTAGGACATTTTTAATGTGGCACAAAAGTGCCATATGTTGAATAAACACGCTGCAGTGGCACTAAAATAAATATAAACCTTGTATTAGATGCTTAAAGGTGTAGTTAAGTCACACAAATATATGTACAGGAATGGCCTCTGCCTGGATTTAATTCAACAGCCTTTGACACCAACGACACCAAGCCTCTGATTTCTTCATCTGATCTGACTGATTACGTCTTGCTTACATGTGCTGTAGGAGCTCTAGTGAGGGCCACAGTCTCAATCATAACAACCTCCAAAGCCAAACTGTCGCAGGCGTTTGATGCCTCTTAATTAAAATTCATGGAAGTAGTTTGATACATATCTAAACTGAATCGCAATCTGTAGTGACTGCAGTGAGATAGAAATGAAAGAACAAGGGTGAGGAAAACTCCTGGTAAGATGTGAGATCAGAGTTTAAGAATTAAGATTATTATGCTTATTATTGCATATACAAAGTGATATACAGTAATTGGATGGGATCGGTTGAATACAGCTTGGTCAGGCTTGAGATCATTTTTCTTTCTTTTTTAAAGATAACAAGGTGAATGACATCCTCCTTGGTCTTGAAGTCTCAGATGTCTGTTTTATCTTCATGTTTTTATACTTTTAAGTTTTTCGCTAATAATGAGTTTTTATTATTATTATTATTATTTTTATATTTTTTTTACTCGCAATTCATATACAATTATAAAACATTACTATTATTTACTTTAATTTATAAATAATATTATCTCTTTCTTCTGGTGTTTAGAAATGACATAATGTTGATATTCATATTTCAGATGTCACAAAAGTGCAGACGTCAGAACAAGATGTTTTTGCAGCTTAGTTATAATAAACGTTGGATTCATTGATCAATTACAGACTTTATTCTGTGTCCCTACAGCCATTGTAACCAGCAGACTCTTCCTGTGACATATCAAGCCTGTGTTATCCCAAAGGACTGTGAAGTGACCGAGTGGTTGGACTGGTCTGCCTGCTCAAAGGAGTGCTATGATCTGAATGGGCGTAAGGGACAGAGGACACGCATGCGTCAGGTGAAGCAGTTCTCAGTGGGTGGAGGAGCCGAGTGTCCTGAGCTGGAGGAGAGTGAACCGTGTTCTCCTCAAGGAGAAGGAATCCCGCCATGTATAGTGTAAGTGCTGTGTCCATTCTGCTTCGGTGCTTGGATCATGACATTTATATTAGACCTAATATAAAGCATTTACACTCAGTGACGTCAAAACTGATATAATGCATCTAAAGGTGTCATTGGTTAAATTAATAACTGAAAAAAAAAAAAACAGTTACACTACCGGTAAAAAGTTTTAGAACAGCAAGATTTTTATTATTATTATTATTATTTTAAGTAGTCTCTTCTGCTCACCAAGGCTGGTTTTATTTGATACAAAATACAGCAAAAACAGTTCAATATTGTGAAATATTTTTACAATTTAAAATAAACGTTTTCTATTTGAATATATTTAAAAAATATATTTTATTCCTGTGATGCAAAGCTGAATTTTCAGCGTCATTACTCCAGTCTTCAGTGCCACATGATCCTTCAGTACTTCTTTTTTTTTTTTTACATAATATGTTGTTGCCTTATGTTAAACTACTTTAAATGATTTTTTTTTCACATCAATCTACACTCCATTAAATATTATATATCATAGTCATATTCATGATATTCAACTTTTTAAAATTATCAAAACTTTTTAAAAATATAATATTACTTTTATTCATCAAGGATGCATTCAATTGATCAAAGGTGACAGCAATTTATAATGATTTATATTTAAAAAATCTTGTTTTTTCTTTTGAACTTTCTATTGATCAAAGAATCAAAGGAAAAAAAGTCACATTTTGCTCAAAAGAAAAAAAATCTATTTTAAATTATCAGCATAATTGTTTTCAATATTGATAATAATAAGAAATGTCTCTTGAACAGCAAATCAGCTGTGTGTGTGTGTGTATATATATATATATATATATTTTTTTTTTTTTGATCAAATAAATGCAGCTTTGGTAAGCATAAGAGACTTTATTTTTCAAAAACATGAAACATACAGTAGTGTATATGAATATATAATTTAACAAAAAAATATAAGTAGGCCTGCATTGTTCTGAAATAGCTCTCTGTATGGGCTTCATCTGTTGACGGCTTTTGGATAGCATGAACGTGTTAAAACACAGATGGAAGAGTGAAGTGTGGAACAAGGGTGGGGTTGAAGGTCCTGCTGGGGATGATGGAGAGATGGTAGCGGTTTGGTGGTTGGTGGTTTGGCACAGGGCCACCCTGGAGGAGGTGAGCTGATGAATAGTGAAAGTCTGAGAGGACAGGCCACACGCGATCTAATCTGATCTCCCCCACAGATGGGGCGGTCCATTCCCCATCACTCATCAGCTCATTGCACTGGATCTCACCAGAGTGGAGTAGGTGCCCCCTGTATTTGATGGAGGTGAATGGTGCTCCTGTAGTGCTGACCCAGTGTGTGCCCGGCCACGCTCTCTCACCAAACCCCACATGTGCTTTCACTGTTGTCACTGAGAATCCTTTACAGCAGGAGTTTATGACCAGTCGTCCCCCAGAGTGAGATTCAGGTGGCCAAGAATGGCTTGTAACCATTAAAGTTAAATATTCACCTACTGTCACTCTTATGTTGTTCAGTATAATTCAGTGTTGGAGAAGCTATTGTGAAACTGTAATGCAGCTCAATTTAGGTCAAGGGTTAATTTAGGTTTAGGTCATATTTAGGTTATAGTGAAACAGTATTTTACTGCATTACAAATTAGTAACAATATATATATATATATATATATATATATATA